ACTACTACTACTACCACTACCACTACCACTACCACCACTACTACCGCTACTACTACTACTATCACTACTACTGCTACTACTATCATTACTGCTACTACTGCTACTACTATTACTACTACTATTATTACTAGTACTATAACTATTGCGGTTATTGCAGTTATTGCGATTATTATTATATTATTTTTATTTTATTTTTATTTTTATTATATATAATAATGTAATTGAAAATTTTTGAAACGATATTACATAAGGTTAATAATAAACAAACGCATCTTCATTTTTGTTGTTATATTTTTGTTAGCCTCCTAAGATCCTTTTTAAAACAGAGAAAAAGCATTTAGTTATCTTTATGAAAAAAAGAACTATAACAGTTAATAGAATAATTTGTTATATTTTTATGAATGGATTTGTTGTTTGTGAAACTATCTACTGAGAATATTGTAAGTACTATAAATTGAATTTGATTATAATTTAGCGGAAACATAATCGCATTCTACTTTCCTCATTCAAGGTAATTTTTACATAAATCAATATATATTTTGTGTATAATTGTATTAGAAAAATATTGCGTATCTGGTAATAGTTTATAATCTTTAAATCACTTTACAACAATTTAATTGCATTATATTTACCTTCGCTCATGATTTTATTTGCCTTACGTAAATAAATGGGATATCATACTGTATAATGAAAAAGTTAATTATAAAATATTGCAACAGAGAAAATTGTTATAATGTTAGATTACTTTGATTTTATTTTTCATTTTCTAAAAAAAAAAAAGATTATTGTAAATAACAAATCTCGCGTTACGATATGATATTACTTCTTTACATTTTTACTTCTTTACATTTTTTCATTTCGTGACATTCAATCAAATTTGAGAATCTTATAAACAAATGCTACATAAAAATGACTCGAATAATAATTCTGAATATACTTGCGAAAAGATTTTCTAATGCATCAAAGTAAATTTTGTACATTAGAATGTCGTCATATATAAGATTATTTGGATTTTATATGACAATTTACAACTGTGTGACAATGTATGTTCCTACACATAGACGATAGATTATTGTTTGATTTTCTATTTATTTTCACAAAACGATATATACATATATGTATATATATATATACACATACACATATTACATATATTGATAATGACTGAACCAATTCCAACGTCAGAAAAATCGAAGAAAATTAATGCAATAAATAAACAGACAATTCATCAAATTTGTTCTGGTCAGGTGAGGTTAACTTATAAAATATGCTAATATTTAGTCTTTAAATATCATATATTTAATATGTAATATTAATTGCGTTTTAGATAATAAATATATGTTCTATTACTTCTACGTACTTATTAAAATATATAAGTTTACCCTCTTTTCATATTTAATTAATGAATTTTAGTACATACATTAATGTATGACTTATATACATAAAATATAAAAAAATGATATAATATTTAAGAATAACACATTTTCATTTAAACACATATGTTTAAAAGATAATACAGAACTTTGATAATTACAATTATAATAATTTCATTATATAGAATATTAATAGTGAATATATTTCTTTTATTAATCGTCTAGGTATTATTTTTGGGATTTAAAAGTTGACATGGCATTTTTTGAATTTCCAATTAATTTATGCACAAATGTAAAATATTTCTGATAATCTATCTTTTATCATTTTCCTAATAAATATGACAAAAAATGATTTATTTTATTAATTTTAATTTAATTTGCGGTAATAAAATTGCATTATATCCTTATTATTAAAAGGAATATAATTAACAGTAGAGTATTAAAAATGATGAAAAATGTTTGAGACATTGTCTATATTTCAGAAATATTGTATAAGAACAATTTTTTAAAGATGAGTTTATTCATATTTTTTGAGATACATTTACTGATATTTTTTTTAAACATTAAAACATATTTGAGAATATCTTAAATTATGATTTTTAAATAATTTAATCATCAAACAAGAATCTAAAATAAATTAAGAATGTTTGAAGTGACATCTATTATTGTTGATATATTGTTTAAAATATTGTTTAAAATCAAGAATTACATTTTTTTTAATTGATTTAAATGATTACACAGCATGAGCTATAAATATATTTTTTATGTTCTAAAGTAGTAGATTGTTGTAAGTGAATCATTACCTTTTCAAAAGAATATTATCTAATGGTATTAAATCCCGTGAATATCTTGAAAATGTTTACCTATTTGGGAATTTTTTATTGAGTTGATTTGATTATCTATCTGGTAAATAATGAGAATAATTATGATGTTTTTATAAATGAAGCCTTTTAATAAGAATTTTACATTTTGGTCAAAATTGAATTAACAATATAGTATGATTCTACAGCCTCCTGCAAATATTCTGTCAAAATAAAAGAAAAAACTAATTACTAATAAACTAGAAATTTTAAGTAACATTATCTCAGAATGTCTTATACGAAGTCATTATTTAAATATCTAATCAATTCATATAAATTTAATGAAAAATTATGTTTTTGTCCATTAATGAAATAAAATTCAATAATTTTATTGTTTAAAATTATATCACATATTTATTTTGTCTATTTGTTAATTAATGAAAATTGTTCAAATTAATCAATAATGCATGTTCTTAAAATTTATCTACTTGATTAGTAGAACATATTTCAATAAAATGTATTTTTTTGAAGAATATTATATTGCTTTCAAATTATTACAGACAAATTGAATACTTATGATATAAATATACATATAAATTCTTATAATAGATTCATATAGTTAATAGGTCATCTAAAGATCATAACTCAAATATATTTGAATGTGTGCTTTATAAGATGTATTAGAAAAAATATTGTTTCACAATACTCTTTTTGAAACCATTGAGTTTATTTAAATATATTTATACTTGTCAAAATTTTTATTAGGTGATACTTGATCTTGCAACTGCTGTGAAAGAACTTGTAGAAAACAGCTTAGATAGTGGTGCTACATTAATTGATATTAAATTGAAAGATTATGGAAAAACATGTATCAGCGTCAGTGATAATGGAAGCGGTGTTTTGGAACAAGATTTTGAAGGATTAGGTACGTATACATATATATACATGCATATATGCAAATTTATATATTTAATGGAAGAATTAAACACAACTTCCAAAATATATAATATAATTAAAATTTAATGAGCTTTTTCAAAAATTGTATTGATTATAGTTATATTAAATACATTTTATTCTTGCTTGATCAGGATTGAAGCATTATACTTCTAAACTTCGGGAATTCTCAGATTTAACAGAAGTGAATACTTTTGGATTTAGAGGAGAAGCTCTTAGTTCACTTTGTTCATTAGCTGACTTAAATATTATTACAAGACATTATACAAGTGAACATGGTTTCAAGCTACAATTTGATCATAATGGCATGCTACAAAATAAAGAACCTTATGCAAGAGAAATAGGAACTACTGTGCATGTAAAAAATATATTTAAGTGCTTTTCTGTTAGAGCAAAAGAATTTCAAAGAAACCTTAAGAAGGAATATGCTCATGCTATTCAAGTACTATACAGTTATTGCTTGATTTCTACTAATACAAAAATAACATGTTTCAATTGTGTATCAAACAAATCTCCTAATCTTGTAGTTAGTACTACTAGTCCCAGTAATATTTTAAACAATATAAATTTAATATTTGGTAAAAAATCTTCCAATGGATTGATTAAAGTTGAATTGTTATCTGCTGATGAGGCAACATTGCAAGAATATAATTTACCAAATAATGTAATTATGGATTTTGAATGGGACTGCTATATCAGTAGTTGTGATCATGATATGGGACGTTCTGCACCTGACAGACAATTTTTTTATATAAATGATCGACCATGTGATCTAACAAAAGTCAGTAAATTAATAAATCAAATTTATCACAGATATAATAATAAACAATATCCATTTGTTTTTCTAAATTTAAAATTAAACAAACACTCAACTGATATTAACGTAACTCCAAATAAAAGAACTATCTTTTGTACACAAGAACGTTTAATTTTAGCAACTTTAAAATATAATTTAACATCTAAATGGGAGAAATTACAAGGAAATTTGACTGTAAATCCTGTACCAGAATTAAATTTTGGTGTAAAAAGAACAATTTCACCTACAAGTACATGTCAACCAACCAAACGGTTTCATAATTTAAATAAATCGGATATACATTCAGAATATACAGAAACACAAAGTATACAATGTATTAATGAAAATAAAATTATTCAATATGATAATGATAATGTACAAAATAACATAACAAATCGGATAAAAATATTAGACAACAGAGAAATGCCAATTAGTATTTTAACAATAAAACAACAACTTCAAAAGAAACAAAATCTTTTACCCAAATGCATAGTTTCAAGTGCAAAGATCAAATTTAAGGCACAAATGGATCAAAATTCAAAGGCTGAAAATGAATTGAAAAAACAATTAACGAAAGACTCTTTTTTAGAGGTTATAACATTTACGTTTTATTCAATTATATAAGTTTTAATGTTTTAATATCATTCTGTAAATTATCATATGAGTGTAATATAATGGTTATTCTTTTATGCAGCTGTAAAAAAAAAGAATATTTTACAGATGGAAATTATAGGTCAATTTAATCTTGGTTTTATAATAACACGTTTGAAAGAGGATCTTTTCATTATTGATCAACATGCTACTGATGAAAAATATCGTTTTGAAAAACTTAATAATGAGACACAGTTAAAAACTCAAAAATTAATTGTTCCTAAGTTTTTAAATATTTCTGCACTTAATGAAACAATATTAATTGAACATCAAAAAACATTTGAAAATAATGGCTTCTTTTTTAAAATAAATACCGAAGGTAAATAAAATAAATTAAAAATTGTTTTTATTATAAATAATTATTACTTTTGAAAAAATAATATTTTAAAATTATTCAAATTGAATAATTGTAACTTGCATTGCTTTGTTTCAGCTGAATCTGGACATCGTGTACAATTGACTGCTATACCAGTTAGTGGTTCTTGGCAATTTGGACAAGAAGACATTGAAGAATTAATTTTCCTGATTAGAGAAGGTGGTATAGAAAACAAAGATAAAAATATATTTCGTCCAAGTCGAGTAAGACAAATGTTAGCATCAAGAGCTTGTCGCAAGGCAATTATGATTGGTACTGCTCTTAATAATAATGATATGCATAAATTAGTTATTCAAATGGCACAAATGGAAAATCCTTGGAGTTGTCCTCATGGTAGACCAACAATAAGACATTTATTATCATTGGATCTTATATCTAAATAAATTATATTTTTATGTATTATATGTATATGAAATAATAAGAAAATGAAATTTAAAGTGAAATATATCTTGATATATGAAGTAACTTATGAAAAATAAGCTTTAAATACCATTTAATTTAAATATTATTTGTTATTACATTAAATAATTTCTGATCATAAACTAGATTATTTGGAAATGGAAATATAAACATAAGAAAAGAAATAATTATTGGGTACTTGAATAAGTTTCTGCCGTTTTTTGTTAACTTAAGATTAACACAGAAAAATAAACAACACCCCATGCAAAATATTTGCCGTCATTAGACGGCTGTAACATTTTGCCACTTTTCAGGCAAAATGAATTCCATGATAAAAAAAAAATTGTTATTCTTTTGAAGTGATCCATTCATTAAATCAATTTTTGATATCCTTGTAAGAAGTGAAATGTTGTTCCGAAAGGCTATGCTGCATCGATTGAAATAGATGATAGCTTGATGGAGCAAGGTCTGGTGAGGCAACACATCCTATCCAAGATGTTCTAACGCCTCTTTGACTGGTCTTGCTATTTGCGGTCAAGCATTGTCATGTTGAAAAATGATTTTGTCATGCCTTTTGGCATATTGTGGACATTTTTCTTTCAATGCACGACTCAAATTGATTATTTGCTTTTTATAACGAACAGCAGTGACGATCCAGTTCCAACAGTTCACAGTACGCCTTGTTGATCCCATTAATTACACAACATGATCTTACTTCCATGAATATTCCGTTTTGCTCTTGACTTTAATTTCTTCGGATTATCGTAATGAATCCATTTTTCGTTGCAAATAACAATTGCAAAAATGACTTCTTGTTCTGTCTTTGAAACAATAATTCATAATTAAACGTCTTTCAACATCTCTGTCTTTCAAAACATATGGCATGCAATAGTCTTGCTTATGAATAAATCTTGCTATTCTAATGCCTGCTTACAGTCGATTCATCAACATTTAACGATTTTGATAATTCTTTATGCGTTTGATATGGTTCTTCATTCAGTAATGTTTCCAACTCTTCATCTTCGAACTTTCTCGGTGCACCAGAGTGCTTTTTGTCTTTTACATCATAGTCACCTTCTCGAAATCGTTAAAACCATTCTCTACAAGTTCTTTGAATTTACTTTTCTGTAAAATGAAATAATGGAGTAAAACCTTCCGCAAATATTGTTTTATCAGCAGAAATTTGACATCTTCAATACAATAGAAAAATGTTGACAATGCATTCAAATGACTTGTACTGAATCTTAAAGCTTGCTCATAGTACTTGTATAGATGTGTCACCATCTTAAACTACTGTACACAGTACTGGTATATTAATTATAGTGAGCGGCGGAACTTATTCAAGTACTTATTAAATTCTTTGTATTTACATATTTTGTAGAAAATGATTAATAGAACATTTTAAATTCTTACTGAATGATTAAGTATATTTATTATTTTATTATTCTTGCAGATTTCTATTTTAAATACTTAATTTAATTGAAATAAAATAATGTCAAATGATTATGTTTTCATTCAATCAATCTAAATTTCTAGATTCTAAATTAGTCGAAGACATAACTATATTTTAATGAAATTAAAAATGCGAAAATTAAGAAACTTTAAGAAACTTAGTTTTTTAAAATGCCGTAAAAGATTACTGTAAATATTTCTTATTTATTGTGTCATTTTTTAAATAGTAATTTGTCTTCGAAAATTTTTTGGCACAAAGACAAGATGGAAATATTTAAAAATACTTTAACGCGTCGAAAAAAAAAAAAATTACTAATTACCAAAAAAATTCAATATAATAAAAATTACTTTATAAATATTGCATTTTATTAAATAGATTATACACTAATTGTACGAAATATATTAAATCCTGAATGTGCTGTTGATATTATAGTACCAGGACATTGAGGATGCCAGTGTAATTCTTTTATATCACTTTGACCTTGATGTATAAATAACAACTGTGGTGGCAGTTCCTTTAATTCATTATATTCTATTTCTTCTGATTCATCAGCTTCTACTGATAAATCCCACTGAGTAATTTGATCATCGGCTCCACCAGAAGCAAATACAGTGGCATCTTGAGGGTGCCATTCTATCGTTGTAACAGGTGCAGTGTGTTGCTTAAACATGGCTAATGGGCTTGAACCGTTAGGACCAAACTGACGTAAATCCCATACACAAACTAAACCATCATCACCACCAGATACAAGAAATTGACTTTCTTTACGATTCCATGAGATAACATTAACATCAGCAGTATGTGTGCCAGATGCTGTTAGCATACATGCAGATTGTGGACTTGATCTTATATCCCAAATTTTGATACTAAATAGTACAAATATAAAAATATATTACAAATTTGATATTAAAATAAATAATAAAATGTAAATATAAATGTAAATAATAAAACACCAATTTAAAAATTTACATAATCTTTTAAAACATTAATTAGATTATACCTTTTATCAACAGAACATGAAGCAAGTACATGTTTTTCATTAGGTGACCATTGAATATCTTCAACACTGTGCGGTGCATGTGAATTATAAGGCCTCTGATCCACGTGCCAAATTGAAGAATTATTGCTATTATTAAAATGCCATATATGGATGTTACCCTTGCAATCGCCAGAAGCTAGCATGCCTACTTCTGTTGAACACCAATCAAGTCCATATCCTTCTGAAAGGTGTCCTTTAAAACTAAATAGTGGTTTGATGCTCCCATCATTTTTTTCACAATTTTTACGATATATGTGAAGTAATTCATCATCATCAAGTGCGTTTAACTGTTTATTCAAATCCCAAATATGTACACGCCCTAATTCACTCCAACTTGCAGCAAAAGCTTTTTCATTAATTCTTGTATATCTGAAATAGATAAACATATTTTAATTAGTGGTAAATTTTGTTTTCAAATTATTTATATAATTTATCTATATTAAAAAATAAATAAAAATATATTTTTACCTAATTCTATTGACACAACCTTGATGCTTTATTGGTGCAACAGACATAACTGGTGTATTCGTATCACTTTCATTATTTAACTCATCATTGAACTCATCATCTGACTCATCATCAGAATCATCTTTTATACCATACAGATTTTTCATTTTCACAACAAGGAGGTTGTTAACATGTGTCTTAGCAGCTTGAGTTCCAGCTACAAGATATATACTTAGTGGGTAATCTTCTCTGTTATTACCCAAGTCATCTAAAATAATATCAAAACTAAGACAAGGAGCGCCACATTGGGACTGATGTAACATTCGATATGCTGTCTTGTCCACAACAAGTTCTTCTCCACTTTTTAGAGGCTTTCCAGGAAGATATATCCTAGATTCATTCTCCTGATCTTCTTTTTCTTCTATTTCATCACTATCCATTGAATCTTCTTCATTGTCTTCTGAATCTTCTTCACTGTCATTGCTACTCTCTTCCATATTCTCATCAACTTCATCTATTTGCTCATGTTCCATTTCTTTAGTAATTTCTTTATATAGGAGAGTCATTTTAAGAAAGATATATCTGTAGTTAGAAATAAGAAAAACTTAAATAATCAAATGTATAAACGAGTAACTTAACCTTACTATGAAAAAAAAACAATACATATACACAAACATATATAAATATTTTCTGATTTTGTTGTTTTTAATATATTTTAAGTTTAAAATACTATTTAAAAAATTTCAATATAGCGATCAGAAATTTATTCTTAATATAAATTTCTAAAAAATTACCTTTCTCTTATAACAGAGATTCGGGTGGAACACGTGAATGGAACAATGTGCGAAAAACATTATACATGACTAATTATAAGATATACATATTCATTAAACTGACTATTCTATCGAAATTTTTGCAATATTTTTTCATTGTATTTTATTGGCAATTTTTGTGCGAATTAATTTGAAACAATACAAATGAATGACATTATTATGAAATTATAATATTTGACTAATGACATTTAGAAAGTCATAGAAAATTTAAATACATAATTACAAGAAATAAAATTTTACAAAAATTTATAGTGCACCCACATATTTATATTTCACTTTGTAAATATTTCATACTAGCCTTTTTGTTAATGGCATATGAAGAAAAATTTTGCTTCCTTTAAAGTCATATTCTAAACAATCCCTAGTGTAATTCTGGAAACAATTCAGTTTGTAAACTATATATTGCTCACAGTATACAAAATAACTGTTATACAAACAAATTTAAATCATTATCACATACCAACAAAACTCTTTCAAAACAAACTCTTAAGACACAGATATGTTTCATTATTTATAATATTCTTTGAGTATACTTAAACAGCATGAGAGAAGTATTTTAATTGTGGAATTTTCTTTTTTTTTGCATAAAACACCATCCACTTTACGTATGAAAATTATGTACTTATTTATACATCAAGTATAAGCACTATTTTCGTCATAAAATTGACAAAAAATGAAAATTAAGTTGAAGAAACTGCTCCTTTATGGACCAGTTTATTAACTAATTTATATGAATAAGTATAACGTCGATAACAGCAAAGTCAGTGATAATAATAATAATATTAATAGTAGCAGTATTAATGACAATAGTAGTAATAATGATAGTAATGATGGTAGTAATTGTATAGTAGCAGTACTAGTACAGTATATTAACAAGATCCACTGCGGTTGTATTACGAATAACAAAAAGAGAAGAATGAAAAAAGGAAAGGAAAGGTGTATAAATGGTCATTTTACATATAAAATACAACTTTAGTAACTGTACGAAAAAAAGGAGCAGCAACAAATATTTAACATTTGATAGCAATTGTTCACGCAAATGGATGGTATTTAATATTAGCTATGTTTGTTAAGATGAGGATTGTTACTAGAATTATTCATTAACTGAATAGACGTTACAGTAGTATGTGAATGATGAGATGGTGAAATGTTAGGATTGTGTCGAGGATTGGTATTGTGGAGACTATGTATGTAAGAACGCTGGACGGGCTTGTGCTGAGCAAGCTGTAGCAAGGCCTCTGGTATAGAGAACCATTTTCGCTTTCGACCAATAGCGCGTGAATCTTCCCATTCTGGCAGCTCTTCTGTCACTCGCATAACCCATACTTGTGTTCTATGTTTGTGTTCCACATTCTATAAAAATAAAAATCATCCACATATGTTTAACTCTATTTGTGAAATATATTTTCATTCTATATTTTCGGTTCTATTATGTTTATGTTCAGCAAATAATTATGTTTTTAAAAAAAAAATTAATACCTCGAATATGCCAAGACATCTGCCTAATTGTCCTAAAACACCAGCTTCTTCTCTGACTTCTCGTAATGCTGTTACTGCGGGTTCTTCTTCTGGTTCAACACCGCCACCAGGTACTATCCAACTATCAGGTCTCCGGCTGGATGTAACCAAAAGTACCTACATTATAAATTATACAAAAATACAATTTATATTTATTTCATTGAAATAAATCATGATAATTGATATTAGAATAAATATAAATATAGCTATATTAATAAAAGGTAAAATATCAACTGCCATCTGTTGGCTTACCTCATCTTCAAGATCATTCTTGACGCAGATACATGCAGCTCTACGTCTATAACCTTCTGAATCGTAAATACGGATCGAATTTGGTTTTTCCTTGACCATGATCGATTTCTAAAGTTATGAAATTATGCCATAAGTTCATATTTGTCAGACGGCCAAATAGGCCAATCTGTACACTTGCATTGTTTTAACGTTGTTTGGAGCCGACATATCGACATAGAATTGATCGGCGAGCTTCAATTGCTCACATAATTAATTTAAGAAGTCTAATTTTCGTCCGAATGAAAGGACGATTCTTTGCCTAAACAATGCTGTTCACGATAACACTACCAATGTTGTTCTTGCAGAAACTCGCTATAACCTCAAAACTTAATGTATTCACTAAACAAGTAACTCCATCTAGACTAAGTTTATAATATGATATTAGAAGGTGAATATTCAATGTCACTATTTTGCTTGAATTTATAACTATAATCTGAGATGTTTTACCATGAAACGAATTTATGAAATAATAATCATTAATAAATTTGAAATGTAGAAAATAATTAAAATTTTGTTTCTGTCATTGAAAAATATGTTTTCTTTAAATCATTTAGATACATATGAATTAAAACTTTAAGTATCCAATATACATCATTGTTTTACTATTTACTGTATATAACGTAATTGAATATATTAGTAAAAATATTTTTAGATAGACTTTTTTGAGTTTTTAAATTTGAATTCTTACGAGAATTTCTACGACAATTGTTATTTTACAATTTTCTATTTTTTATATTTCTAGAATATAAAGTAATGATTTAAAATTTTTTATCTAGGTTTTATGCGAATATTTATTAATGAAATGTTATGTAAACTATCATGCATTTTTCTCCTCTTTAATGCAACTATTAAAATTAAAACATTTAAGAAATTTATTATAAATAGCAAGTAAATATCAAAGAATAGAATGATTTAATGAGATATATTATACAATGATAGAAGCAATTATAAATTATTTAAAATGATGTATATATATATGTTTGTTTCTTTTTTTAAAATTTAGTATTGTATTCTATAAAATATTGGTCAATATTCGCTCTGATTGATTAACATCTAAATTAATTCTTTTACAGTATTGTAAATTAATTATATTTACAGTCTTGTACTTTAACTAAAATTTTGTTTATTTTTTTTCTGAAGTTAATTTAAATATAATTATTATATAATTAAAAATATATAGTCTGTCATTAAAGATTTCTACTTTTAGAATTAGGTTAAGATTTCATATTTCATGTTTATGTATTATTAAAATGGATTTAATATTTTTATTTAATTTTTACGATTATAATGTGATAAAATAATATATGAACGTATATAGACGGTTATAAATAATTTATTGTATATATTTACCTGAATGTTTATAAAAAATTTTTTCTATTATTTTAATAGAAATATCTGTGTAAAATTTATCAAATCAAATTTATTTTTAGAGAATATACATATTTGAAAAATATGTTATCTCTTTATATATATATATGATATAGATCTTCATAACAATTATATATACATTATATATAAATAAAAGAGTTAAATTTCAATTAGTATTAATGAATAAAAATTCTGTATATTTCCTGATTAAATAACTATTTATGAATAAAATAAAAAATCGTTATTTTTTAAATGATTAAGGTTATATTGATAACATCTTATATTATTTTTCAATAGTATTAGACATTCTATTTATAAATTCAATCAGTGCTAAACTCATAACACAATAAATTATAAATCTGATCTAACACCAAATCCAGGTCCAGGTGGTGGGGATGTCAATGATGTTAAGCCAGATGCTGGATCTGCTGCAAATCTAGGAGAATTTTGTGGCCCTGGTGGTGGTCTTTCACCTTTTTTAAGTGCATTTATTATAGTAGTAGCAGTTTCTGGTGTTAAATCTTCCTATAATATATATTAGTATTATATATATTTATATTCATAATTATTCATATTTACATTATGATTTCCAAGTAATTAGATATTTTGTTTCTAATAATTATAAAAATATTTTTATTCTAACAATATGTATTAGAATAAGCTTATCTAAAAAAGTGTTATAATGAAATATTTTTTTCAATGTATAATTAAAATAAGAGTTTCAATTCAAAATGGTTCAAAAATATTCAAATGAAGTATTTTTTTGAAATTATATTTATACTTACATAATAATCATCATTAACTTGAAACATTGGTGCATTAGCGCAAGCACCAAGACATTCCACTTCAGAAACAGTAAATAATTTATCTGCTGACATTTCACCAATTTTACAATTTGTAGCTTTGGTTACAGCTTCTACAATAGAATCAGAATCTCGTAACCAACATGGTGTACAAGTACAAATTTGTACATGATATTTTCCCATTGGTCTTCTGTTGAACATTGTATAAAATGTTGCAACTTCATAGACTCGCATGCGAGGAATATTTAATATTTCTGCCACTTTGTGCATTGCAGAAATGGGTAACCATCCATGTTGACGTTGAGCTAAATCCAATAGAGGTATCATTGCACCACGTTTATGACCTTCAGGATAAATTTTCAAAAGAGCTTCAATGCGTTTCTTATTTGCTTCATTGAATTCAAATGGTATACTTGGATTATCAACTTCGCTGTCTCTATGCTATTAAAATTAAAATAAACTAACAAATTAACAAAACATTTATTAATTTTATATTTATGTAATAATACATACAACAAATAATTGATCTGAGGTACAAATGCTTGAAGTGTATAATCCTCTAACATTCTTGCAATTCTGTTTGTGCAAAAAGAACAATAATAATTGAAATATTAATTATTCAAGAAGGAAGGAAGAAAAATTTCATTGGGAAGGAGGAAGCAAATTCAATATATTTACAAATTGGAATCTCTGCAT